TGTTAACAGTGGTATCTCTGATATTACACATAATCATTAAAATTTCTTTCTCATAACATTTCTTGAAATGATTGTGTATTGCTCTTAAAATAAATAAATAAAAATTTTAACTTGTTAATGCTATCAAGAGAAACTAGAGTGTCAAACGGTGGAGAAGATGGTAATAAAGGCCCCTAAATAACGGAATTTCAAATACTTAGGGACAATAAGGACATTTCAAATCAAATCATTAACATCTATGTATCAGTTAACATCTGCCACATAACAAGTTCATCCTGGGCGTTTCTTTCAGAGAGTAATTGGTTTCTTTGACATTCTAGCTCCTTGCTTGGCACCTTCTGGCTGTGGACCACCTCTTGGTTCTCATCCCCCAACACTCTTTGCCTCACACTCTTGGCTCCAACACATTTGTAGTTTAATATGTTATGTTGTTCTGTGTCCCTGGACTTGGGGTCATTTGGACATTCTGTCCCTACAGCTTTATCCTATCACAAAGCCATAGTGATGTTTGACAAAGGCATTCATTTAACTCACATGTCTGCAGGTGGGCTGGTCCAGGCTGGCTCCCTCACATCTCTCTGGGTTCGCTGGGTTTGGATAACCTGGCCTGAGCTGGGGGGTTGGGGAGGGGGGTGTAGCTGCAGTGGCTCTGTTTTACTTGCTTCTCATCCTCTCCCTGGGACCAGTGGGCAGGAGCCCACGCAAGTTCTTCTCATGGTGGTGAGAGAGGTACAAGGTGCAAGCTCCCACAGGCCAGCGCTTGGCAAGCCTTTGGTGGCATCACACATGTTGCCATTCCATTGGATAAACTGAATCACAGGATCAAACCCCAAATCAAGGGGCAATCCTGCCTCTTTAATGGGAGGAACTACAAAGGTACGTGTCAAAGACATGAAGAATTAAGACCATTAATTCCATTTACAATTGGTCACCACCCTACTTGATAGAGGCTTGCATGTGATATGAGTTGGAGACCTATGTGGCTAGAGACAGATCCTCCCACCTCCTCCACCCCCACCAACACTACCCAGCCAATACTTTGTGTTCCAAAGATAGCAAGCATGCCAAGTTTCTTGACATCTGGCAATTTGAGTTTGCTTGTTGTTTTGTTTGTTGGTTGCTTTGTTTTTGGTGTTTAGAGATCATGCAAACCATTAATTGTTTTTGAGATGCCAGTTAATTTGTTCCACTGCACGTTTCACTGTAGCATGCCTGATGACACAAAAAATAACAGTGGTTTGAAAAGCAAGTAGTTTGCCCAAGGAACACATAAGTCAAAGCCATAATTTATAGCCACACAGGCTAGGCAGTGCAAGTGGCCAGGGTTGTGCTATGCAAACAGTAGCCATTACTAAAATTTACATTTTAACTAATAAAAATTAAATGTAATTAAGAATGCATTTCCTTCCCTGGCCGGTTTGGCTCAGTGGATAGGGCATCGGCCTGTGAACTGAAGGGTCCCAGGTTCGATTCCAGTCAAGGGCACATGCCTGGGTTGCGGGCTCCATCCCCAGTGGGGGACTTGCGGGAGGCAGCGAATCCATGATTCTTTCTCATCATGGATGTTTCTATCTCTCTCTCCCTCTTCCTTCCTCTCTGAAATCAATAAAAATATATTTTTAAAAAAGAAGAACCATTTATTTTTTTAAAAAAAGAATGCATTTCCTCAGTGACACAAATGTTCAAGGACACATATGGCTAATGACTACCACATGGATGGTGCAGACATAGAACAGTTCCGTCTGTACAGAAAGTGCTGGTGGACGGTGCTGCTCCAGATGGCACCAGTGACATGGACTATGATTCGGGGGAGGGGGGGACCCCTGGAGTTGCATGATCCAACGATCCTAATCCAGTGAACGATATAACCCACGCTCACTCTCCTGGCAATCAGTGCAATTCTGTCTATGCTAAGGTTTTTGTCAACATTTCTAGCATTGGCATTTTCTGTTCTTTCCATTTAGCCAACATGTTACCTGCTGTCCTCTTACTGCAACCAGTTTCTGCCAACCCAGATCATCCTGGGTGTTTTTCAGAGAGTAATTGGTTTCTATGACATTCTAGCTCCACGCTTGGCACCCTCTGGCTCTGGACCACCTCTTGGTTCTCATCCCCCAACACTCCTTGCCTCACACTCTTGGCTCCAGCACATTTGTAGTTTAATACGTTGTGTTGTTCTGTGTCCCTGGACTTGGGGTCATTTGGACATTCTGTCCCTACAGCTAGAATGATTTTGTCCCACTCATTACCTGGTCTTTAAGACTGAGTTTCAGCCTGCCCACACTTATTCAGATGTTTCCCTTGACAATATTCTGGGTTTCCTTTATCCTTGCCCCTTTGCTCCATTGTCTGGCTTCCCTTCCAGGCTGTGAGCTCCCTCAGGAGACTGAAGTGGCCCCAGAGCCAGAGCCTCCTGGGTAAGAACCACTGTTCCACCGCTTGCTGGCTGTGTAAACGAAGAAAAGAGGCTCATTTTCAGCATCTGTAAAATGAAGGTGATAACAGGGGTGTTTTGGAGATGAATTGCAATGACACCTGTAGGAAATTTAGAACAGTGCTGCTATACGTTAAGGGCCTACTAAGTGTCACCTCTTCTGTTTTATTTTTTAAAATATGTTTTTATTGATTTCAGAGAGAGGAAGGGAGAGGGAGAGAGGAATAGAAACATCAATGCTGAGAGAGAATCATTGATTGGCTGCCTCCTTCACGCCCCCTACTAAGAATAGAGCCCACAACCTGCAACCCAGGCATATGTCCTGAGTGGGAATCGAACCATGACTTCCTGGTTCATAGTTCGACTGAGCCACACCAGCCTAGCACCTCTTCCTTTTTATATTGCAAGACTGTAGCATACAATAGATGCTCAGTTGCTGCTTCCTAAATTAGTACAATGCTAGGAGACCCAACTACTTTAAGGAAGTTCCATGGATTATCATGGGACTACAGAAGAACCAGACACTTTTAAATAATCCCCCGAAAGGAACTGGGGGGAAAACTGCTTATTATGGCCAAGAAGAAAGCACAGCTCTTTGTCTGAAATGGTTTTCCTTTCACAGAGCCCCAGCCAGGGGGGCAACTCCCAATTCCCTCCAGAGGCTGCCGTCCTGGCTGCAGAAGTGGGTAAGGACTTCCCAAAAGGGCTTCCCTGCTGGATCAGTTTTGAGGCTCCATTCAAAAAAATAATAATCATAAAATGCCTATTGTGTATTAGGCACTTATTATGTGCCAGTGATTCTCAAATGAGGGGGGCAATTTCTCCACCCATAGTGGACATTCTTCTGGAGACATCTTTGTTTCTCACAGCTGGGGTTGGGGGTGTGACTGGCATCTAGTGGGTAGAGACCAGGATGCTGCTCAACACCCTACAGGGCACAGTGTAGCCCCTCAATGACCTGGCCCCACATGTCAAAGGTGTCAAGGTTGAGAAACCCAGTTATGCCGCAAGACACGGAGCATTGTGAGTTTTGTCTCATTTCATTTTCATCATGCCGATTTATGAATGAGGCCCTGTGATTCACCATTGCCCCCATTCTCCAAATGAGGAAACTGAGGCCCAGTTACGCAAACTGCTCACAGTCACACAGCCAGGACCAGATTCAAACCCAGGGGGCCTGACACAGAGCCCATGCTCTTACTGGTTGCACATTTTGGGGGATACCACACCCTTTAAAACCATTTGGTTTAACAGTAAGAAGCCATTTGTCATCAGTTAGAGTGTTCTCAACCTTCCTAATGCCGCGACCCTTTAGTACAGTTCCTCATGTTGTGGTGACCCCCAATTTCATTGTTACAAATTGAACATAATTAAAGCATAGTGACTAATCACAAAAACAATATGTAATTATATATGTGTTTTCCGATGGTCTTAGGCAACCCCTGTGAAAGGGTCGTTCGGCCCCTAAAGGGGTCGCAACCCACAGGTTGAGAACCGCTGAGTTAGACCCAGGTTAGAATCCTCGAGTGGCTACTTGGCAGCATGTGATCCTGAGCACACCATCTGTTAGGTCATCGAAGCTTCTATTTTCCCATCTGTGAAATGGGGGAAGGATGCCCATCTCGTGGGGTGTTTTTAAGAGTTAAATCGGAGAGGACTGTGAAGCGCCTGACAATTAGTCTGACACTCATTAACTGGTAGCTGCTGCTGGTACTGCTGTCCTTGTCAGCATCGCTGTTATTATTCCCATCGCCTCGCCTCGGAGGCCCGATTCCCTCCCACCCGATCCCGAGGAAACAAGAACTCGGTTTTGTGGCTGGTCCCAGTGCGCCAGCTGGCGCTCTGAGACAGTGGGATGGTGCCTCCCCACGCCAGATTGCACCCTGCAGAGGGGGCCTGCGCTTCGGGAGGCCGCAGCAGCTCGGAGGAAAGAGGCGTGTTGCCCAGGAGCTTGGGGCTGGTGGGACCCGGAGCAGGCGCCTGGGCCACTAGGGCTGCTCCCTCTCTCCTGGGGGTTGGTTCCTCTTGGTTCCTCCATTAAGAAGCACAGGGACCTTTAATGCTGGGAGCAGCGGTGGAAATGGTGGGAAATGGTGGCCAAGGGGGCGACGGGACTCTTTGAAGAGAAAAATAAGTTCTCTCTGCTAACTGTCTGGGAATGCCTATCTTTTGGGGGGTGACAAGAGAATGCAACAGCCAAACTGGAGAGAATATGCTAGAAAAGTTCCCAAATCGTGGGAGATGGGGTTGGTTAAGGCAGAGCTTTCACGGGGCCTCTCAGACCCAAGACCAGCTTCATGTCTCCATCAATAACAACAGTCATAATAACACCCACCATTTGTGGCCCACTGTGTGGCTGGCGCTGTTACAAAAGCCTCACATTCATCATCTGTAACCCTGTTACATGTACCCACTCAGAGGCCTGATGAGTCAACACATAAAAGGTGCTCAGAAGGGGGCAAATAGGAAGCAATATGAAGCATTCGCCACCACCATCATCATCATTATTTCTACAGCTGTTGCTAGTTTCACCACCCTGCAAGATAGACGTTATCTCCAAGGAAGAGTAGGACTAACGAAGGCTCAGAGAGTCTGGTTTGCCCACGGCCCCAAGGAGGCAGGAAAGCACTGTGGGTAAGCCAGCCGGCTTTGGCATCGGACTGCCAACTTTCAAATCCTAGCTTGGCTGTTTAGTAACCACCTGCCAACGTGGGCATGTTATTTTCCCCAAGCCTGGGTTTCCTTTCCTGCAAAATGAAGAAAGAGACACAATAAAAGTCAAGGTAAGGATTAAACTGTTCGTTGAATTGTGAAAACTCAGCTCTGATACAGAAGGTAGAATTTAGCTCGTTTGTGTTTTGTGGAGTCTAAGCCCTCTGTGCCCTTAAGGAAAGAGGAATGAACTTTCTGAGGCGAACCGATGTGGGCTCTGCTGTGAGTGGTCAGAGAGGACCACCTTGGTCTGTGTAAAGGTTACTATGAGAGAATAGATGGTGTCTGGATTGGAGGGTGGAGGGTGAAAGGGTGGGGCAGGAAGGAGAGGCCAGAGAGGACAGAGTGGATAGATGCCCTGAACCAAGAGTGGTTTGTGTGGCACTAATGCCCAGGAAATGCCCATGAGAAGCCACAAGACAGTGCTGAGAGTGACCTATGATGCCCAGGATCTCTGGGGCTCTCCTGCTGACCACCCTCCTCAGTTGGTCCTCTAGGGCCGGGGAGACCTCTGTCTGCCCTGTCTGTGGTCAAGGTCCTCATTGCTGCCATGTGTAGATACTACCAGAGCAAACACCTCCCACCCCTGACAACCAAAAGCCCAAGGCAACCTCTGGACGCCTAGCAGGGCCACCAAGAAGACATCCTCCACCCACATATGGTGAGCTAAAGTGATCGATCCCACTTGAGTATTCTGAGCTGAGACAGTGGGAAGTGGATGTCACCATCCCGTTATTTTCATTCTTGTCAGCATCTCAGGCTGGGCTGCAGGGTGAGGAATATTCCACTGGACTCTGCTCCCAAGTCCCTCCAAAGACTCTGACCCTCCAGTCGTGACCTCTTTCCGCTGCCCGTCCAGCAGCCTGGAAGCAGAGCCAGCCTTGCCCTGTCCCTCCCACACGGCCATGTGGACTGGTCAGCAAGCGCTCCCCTGGCTGGGAGGGGGCGGCAGGAAATCGCCTGGGTCCCCGCTTGCTCTGCCTCTGAGGAGGGGGCGGTGCCGGGGGAGGACAAGGCTTTTATACACAAAGCAGATGCGCCATAAACGCATCCTCCCTGGCACAGACACTCCGGGGGAAATGCTGCTGGTTTTACCCACTCGTTCCTCTGAAAATAACTGCACACTCTAGCTGCCAAGTTTCCGGAACAGAACAAGTGCTGAGGAACGGGGAACCGATGAAGAGGTGGAGTTTTGGGTAATAGGAAGTGAACCACGTTGCTTTGCCCAATGACCGGTCTCTGAAAGAGGAAAAGTGTTTGTAATGGGCTTCAGCGTGTCCAATGTTTTTAACCATAGCCATACCAATTGCTATCATTTTTAAAGCAGTTACTCCGTCCTGATGTTTTACATACACAGCTCCATTAATTCTGCTGGTACTAGTGGCATCCCCATTTTTACAGATGAGTAAAGTAAGGCTCAGATAGGTTAAGCAACTACCCTGAGGTCACACAGAATAAAATAGCAGAATCATGGTTCAAAGCCTGACTTCTCAAGTATTTCCTTCTGAAACTGACTCTCAAACAATCCGTTCACCTGTGCCTCTCAATAATAGATGGATGGATAAATAGGTAGGTAGGTAGGTAGGTAGATAGATAGATAGATAGATAGATAGATAGATAGATAAGCAGAGAAAGAGAAAGAAAATACTGTGCTGAATGTAAAACATTTCTCTAGCACTCACTTTTCCAGATGAGGCGGCTGAAGTTCCTAGAGGTTGAATAAAACTTGCTCTCTGTCACAAAGTCAGCTGCAATCAGAACTCATCAGTCTCATATTCGATGACTATGTGTTGAGGGTTTGCTATGTATCAGGCACTGCATAGAGACAGGCCGGCCCTCATGGAGCTTACAGTCTAGCAAGGCCGACAGATTTAAATGAGCAGTAACAGCAAAGCTGGGTCTATGCTGCAATAGGGGGAACCTCTCTGTGGTCCAGGATGGCATCCTTGATGAGGAAGAGTTTATCCTGACAGTCACTAGAAGAACATGTGTTAGAGAAAGACAGAGGGGCACACCCATGATGACACAATATGCCCCCCAAAGATGATCACATCTTAATCCCTAGAACCTATAAACCTATTGTTACCTTGCGTGGCAAAGGGATTTAGCAAATGTAGTCATATCAGTTAAGTAAAGATCTTGAGATGGAAAGAGTAATCTGGATTACTCAGGTGGGTCTAATGCCCTTTAAAAAGGAAGGTTAGAAAAAGATAGAATGATGGAAGCGGACGTTGGAGTGATGCACTTTGAAGATGGAGGAAGGGGTCATGAGCCAAGGAATGCAGGAAGCTGCTAGATGCTAGAAAGACAAGGAGACAGATTCTTCCCCGGAGCCCCCGGAAGGAACGCAGCCCTGCTGACACCTTGCTCTTAGCCACCAGAAGACTCATGTTGGACTCCTGACCACAACTGTAAGGTAATCAACTTGTGTTGTTTTAAGCCACTAAGTTTGTGTTAATTTGTTCCAGCAGCAATAGGAAAATATTACAATGCACTTCTTAGTTTAAGATAAAACTGCACTTCCCAAAATAGCAAATAAAAAGATATTTCAGGTCTGCGTTACATTCATGCACAGGGAGATGTAAAGGAAGAAGCAGTTTGAGACGGGAGACAGAAACAGAGATACCATCACAAACAGAAATAGGGACAGAGTACAATAGATACCGGCTGCTTTGGGGATTAAATTGTGTTATCCAAAAAAAGATGTTAAAATTCTAACCTCCAGTACCTCTGTGACCTTATTTGGAAATTGGGTCTTTGCAGATAGAATTAGTTAGTCTGAAGTCTTACTAGAGTAGAGTCGGCCCCTAATCTAATATGACTGGTGTCCTTCTAAGAAGAGAAGAATTTCAGCACAGACACACACAGACACAGGGAGGACATGATGACAGGGAGACACATGATGACAGAGGCAGAGACTGGAGTTATCCAACCACAAACCAAGGAATGCCAAAGATTGCCATCACACACCAGAAGCCAGGAGGAGGCAAGGAAGGATTCCCTTACAGGTTTCAAAGGGAGTAAGGCCCTGCAAACACCCTGATCTCAAACTTCAGCCTCTAGAAATGCATGTGAAACAACACATTTCTGTTGTTTTAAGCCACCTAGTTTGTTGTACTTTGTTACGCAGCCCTAGCAAACTGATACACCTACTTTCATAAAGCCCCATCCACTGGACCTTTGGGATATTGTTACTAAATATGTCTCATTTCTGCACCTAAAGGCATATTTTCAGCCCCCCCATCAAAGTTTGTCATATTTTCATGTTTCTGAAACTTCCTACCTCAAGTACGTACATTTAATATAGATTATCATCCTTTCTTTGTTCCTTCTCTTCTTCCTTTTCATTTACCACCTGAACTTAGTGGTGCATCTTATAATAAAGAGCACTTTGGAATCAAGACAATGAAATATGAAGATATCCAGTAGACTTCAAGCATCATGAATACAAGGATACCTCTGCATCCCAGTACAGTAGAGAGAATCATAATGCCATCAATACTCTGACTAAAGTCAGGTACTCTGACTTTAAGTGAAACAACATATAACAAAACCAGTTTTCCCATAGGCTAATTGATATAAACAGCATTAAGTCCCTAGGCATCTCATCAATGTTAGAAGGAAACAACTTTGAAAGAAATGTTATCTGAGGACCTGCTATACCTAGAGCAGAGCCTGGCAGGTGGTAATCTTGTTTAGTAAATAATTGCATGTTGATAATGCTCTCCAGTTCCATTCATGGAACTGGAGAGCATTATGCTAAGTGAAATAAGCCAGTCAATGAAGGGAAAATACCACATGATCTCACTCATTCATGGATAGTAAAGACCATTATAAACTTATGAACAATAATAGATACAGAGGCAGAGCTGCCTCAAACAGATTGTCAAACTACAGCGGGAAGGCCGGAGAGGGTTGGGGGGCAGGAGGAAGGGGGGTAAGAGATCAACCGAAGGACTTGTATGCATGCATATAAGCATAACCAATGGACATAAGACACTGGGGGATAGAGGAGGCCAGGGGATTGTCAAGGGCGGGGGGAAAAAAAAGGACACATATGTAATACCCTTTGTAATACTTTAAGCAATAAAAAAATAATAATAATAATTGCATGTTGAAAGCAAGGCAGAAAGGTGAGGTAAGAGGGGCAGGGAGGGGGCCTGGACTTTCTCCAAAGTACCCAGAAGGAATTGAGATAAGGGCTGGATGAGGCCCCAAGCAGAGATATCCCTCACATTCATGAAATATGGGTTTCTTCCCTAAGTCCCATTAAGCTCTCTATGACTGTAATACTACAATTAATTTTCTATTGAGAACTCCGTGTGGTCACATAAACTTCCTTTAAAGTTGGAGAAATCCACCAGAGACATATCAGTTTCTGAAGAACGTTACCTGGGAGGGGAAATGACCAGCTCCCTGGAGAAGGCAGATGATTGGAAGAAGGACACAGGATTGGGGAGAACAGCAGCTGGGAAAGTCTCTGAGATGCATGAATCCCAGGGGACAGTCTCCAGGGACATGGTCCAGGACAGGAGATGATGTATGTAGATGAGTCAGGCCAACACAACGGTCAGCTCAGTCTCAGACACCAGGCTTGGCTCTGTCCCTAGCCCAGTGTAAGGTGACACCATTTGGAGCCTCAAGGTTATCATGTGAACAAGAAGCATTTGAGACAAGGTAAGGAAATGACAGCTGCTCCATGCTGGTCACTTCATTGGGAAATGTCAAATGTGAGGCTGATGGTCTGGGGTGACAATGGGAAGGGGGCGTGGTTAATGGCCTATAGCAAGGGTTCTCAACCTGGGCCAATTATACACG